TATATATATATATATATATATATATATATATATATATATTTATTTATTATTAGCTCATTAGTGGCATTGCTAACTGGAAAACCAAGGGAGGTCAATGAGAAGCCTGAACTGCACACAAAATTTTATTTTATACCAGTTCTTAACTTCAGTAAGTGGCATCTTTTCATAATTTTCAGTACTGTGTACTTCCAGGTGTCTGTCTTAACCTGTAGCTATTCTACCTCACAGTACAGAAAAACCCTAAAAAGGCTAAGTTCAGCAAAAAAATTTGCCTGCTGTTCATCTCATTTTCTTGCTCTGAGGACAGAATAGGAGACATTTTTACTACTAATAAGCTTTAGGACTGAAGAGAGAAAAAGAAAGTATATCCTCTTTTCCAGAAACTTTGAAGAGACAAAAAACTTCCTTTTTGCTAGTAGCTCCACTTGGCAGAGCCACCCTATCAAGAATAACACCAGGTTTCAGATGCTTGGGGATAAGTAATGAATATCGCACTGGAGGACTTACCAGTGACTTCAAATGATTCATCTTTAACCCCTACTTATCTGTTCTGCACCATGCAATACATAGCACAATGTTGATGTTTTCTCTTTGGATTAATCCAGGAGAGAACTTCAGCATGTCTTAAAGTGCTTGTTGAATGTACTTTACCACAGTCAAAGCTACAAAAATCAATATTGACAAAGAACTGCTTTCTTTTTCTTATACATCATAGCAACACAGTTTTCAAGGATGTTAAATTCAAGGACACTTAAAGATATGTTCAGAAATAAATACACTTTTGATATTTTTGGTGTTTGCTGCTTACTTTTTATTCTGGTCTAAGTAAATCTTCATGCTTTCTACTTCGTCTTTTTATAAGTAGTTTCATTTTCAGATGAAAGAAAAACAGAATTAAATAAAAAATATATAAGCAATTTTCAAGTTTGCCTTTCATCTAACTTGTGGCATATTCATATTACTATCCAAGATGCTCTGAAGGTAGGAAGTAAGAAGGGAGAATTGTAGTGAGTTCAGCTACTTAGTGAACTGCACACTGTAGTTTTAGTAATACAACAGCTGCCAACACTAAACTTTCATCACAGCCCTAGCAGGCTAACTCCCCAAACAAAGGTATGCTGGACTTCAAAGACACTTTGAAAGAACCTTAGTCTTTAAAATTTTACCTGGTGGCTTGCTTTCTTCTTACCAATTTGATAAAAAAATATATTTAATCAATGTAATTGTTCACTCCTTTTAGTAACAATGTTCTTCCAAAAGCAATTGAAAATATGTATCTTGTAGTTAACGCTGCTGTGACTCTTTAATTTTATCAACAACTATATTTAGTAGGACACTGCACTCAAAATGCATTCCAGATAGTTCTTAATACTGCATGTCCAGATGCTCACCTTGAGTAATTGCTGTTTGTTATTTTTGCTGTGAAGAGAAAGACTCCATGAATTTTCTAGAGTAAATTTCATCATAAATACAAATTTTTTCATGATTGCTGTTGGTATATATCTAGAATTACATGGAATAGCATATCAAGGAATTATTTGGCAATTAAACTAGAATTACATGGAATAACCTATTAAGGAACAGGTTGGCAATCAGACTTAAAATTCTCAGAATCACAGAATCATCTAGGTTGGAAAAGACCTTGAAGATCATCTAGTCCAACCATTAACCGAACACTGACAGTTACCAACTGCACTGTATCCCTCAGTGCTATGTTGACCCGACTCTTACACACCTCCAGGGATGGGGACTCCACCATTGCCCTGGGCAGCCCATTCCAACACCTAACAACCCATTCTGTAAAGAAATATTCTAATATCCAGTCTAAACCTTCCCTGGAGCAACTTGAGGCCATTACCTCTTGTGCTATCACTTGGTACTTGTTTAAAGAGACTCATCCCCAGCTCTCTGCACCCTCCTTTCAGGTAGCTGTAGAGGGCGATGGAGCCTTACTCAGATTAAACAACCCCAGTTCCCTCAGCCTCTTCTCGTAAGACATGTGCTGTGAGCTGTGAGTCTGAGCAGGTGATGTTCATAATTCCATCAAGAGCTGATATTTCAGCTTGAGAATGTTTCAAATGTTTAACACTAATAATATTCTCCATATAATTTTTCTAATCTATACTGATCTACCATACATCAGTAGAGACCTACATTAGGCAACTGCATTTCTACAAATACTTTAACTTATTATAGTGATTAAGTAATTAAACACAGCAATGGAACATAGTTTGTCTTGGTCCAGTGATTAATTTATTGTGTCCCCTCTGTCTTTTGAGAAAGCTCCTTTTCCGACCAGTCTTACTTGAAAGTAACTTATCTTGGTACATGATTTTTTTCAGTGACTTTGGTAGTCTTTGGACGTGGTGTGAAGAGTCTGTAGCATGTATGGAGGGCACTAAACATGAGAGTCTCTACAGAGCGTACCACGGGGGTAAATTTGTCTGTAAAAGTTTTTGGGGTTACTTTTAGAGTCTCTAAGGAGGAAGGAGAAGAAACTAATAAGAGAATAGTATAGATGAGTGAAACATGGAACTGTATGGGAAAACCAGCATGCAAGTTTCTGTCCTGTGGTCATCATAACCCTGAAAGGCCTCTCAAGAGTCTCTTTAGATTTTCAGGCGTGTTTTATAATGAGAACAGATCCTTGGCCCCAAGCTTTGTAGTTGTATTTGGCTTTATTTTTTCAGTTGTTGGTAGGAGCAGTTTTGGTGTAGTGTGAGAGATGAAAAACCAGGACTGCGAGAAAGTAAGAAAAACAGCCTGAGAAAGCAAAAGTTGAGGTTGATCTAAGGAATGCCTCAAACCCTCGAAAGACAAAAGTATGAGTCATGGGGTGTATAGTGTGGAGGTCAAAGCTGATAAGGCTGCCCAAATACCACAAGATGCATCTGGAGCAGGGTGTCATATGGAGACAGGACTGCCCTGCTCTGGGCACCTGGTCAAATTTCAAGGACTATCTGTCTGGTGAATGACCTCAGCTTCATTATCCATGAAATGCATATTAAAGTTAACATGCCTCAATATGGGGACGGAGACTAACGTGATCATGCAAATTACATCATCCCATGGAGCACCTTACCCCTCCCCATACATGGGATATGTAGGTATGTGGGCCGACCTAGGGGATGGACCAAAGGAAAGTGAGTATAAATCGAGGGGAGGATAAAGAAAGGGGGGGTTTTGCTGATTAGGGATACCAGTTAAACTTGGACACCAGAGTGAAAAGAGCAGGCTTATTTTGCTAGAAATAACTAAATAATGTAACAGAATAATACAGAAAACATACAGTAAGAAAAGAATAGTGCATTTAAACAAATAGGAAAATACAGGGTAATGCATCAAATCATTACTACCTGAGAGAGAGAACAGTGATTAAGAAAGATCCCTCACCACTCGCACACGTTCCCATCACCCAGCCCTGCAGCGGCCGGGCAGCCCCGGTTACAGCGAGGGTTTGCAGAGCCTGTCCCGGCAAGGGGGAAATCCTACGCGGGGCGTCCACCCACAGGTGAGGCTGCCAGAGTCGCTGTGAGCGGGTCCAGCCTTATATACCCCAAAATCAGCAAGCCAGAATAGCTGGCACCTTTGTTTTAAGCAAAAATACCTGGTTTCAATCTCACATTAGATTCCCGCAGAGGCTGGCCAGGGCTCAAGGGAGAAGCTGAGGGATTTTCTCTGCTTATCTAATTGAATTGTGTGCAAGGTCTCACATCAGGCCACAGTGCCAGACACCTGTCTCCACGACCCTGTTATTTTATCGATACAGAAAGAAAGTTAAATACCCATTCAAGATAGCTACATCCTCCATACATATTTCACTGATCATTACATACTGAGGTAGCAGCTTCAACTCAGGGCCTGTGGCTCAGGCTTCAGTAAACATCAGAATAGATGGTTTGTTATAACTTAGTATAATACCTATTAGGACAATGGTTATCAGTTACAAAATATACAGGATTCATCTATAGGTCAACTCTGGCTTGGGCTGGTTGTCCAAGCATTAGCACTTCAGAGGCAGGGGAGCTGGAGAGTACAATGAAGTGATGATGATGGACGCCTCCTGGAACCCCCGCTGGTAGGATCGACACAGGAACCCACACTGCTGATCTATACAGTATCATACAATCACAGAATCATTCAGGTTGGAAAAGAACCCTTGAGATCAACAAGTCCAAACATCAGTCCTACTCTACAAAGTTCTCCCCTACACCATATCCCCCAGCATCTCATCTAAATGACCCTTAAACACAGTCAGGGATGTCGAATCCACCACCTCCCTGGGCAGCCAGTTCCACTGTCTGACCATTCTTTCTGGGAAAGATTTTTTCCTAATGTCCAGTCTGAACCTCCCCTGTTGCGGTTTAAAGCCGTTCCCTCTTGTTTTGTCACTAATCACCTGTGAGAAGAGACCAGCACCAACCTATCTACAAAGTCCTTTCAGGTAGTTGTAGAGAGTGATGAGGTCTCCCCTCAGCCTTCTCCTCCTCAAACTGACCAGTCCCAGCTCCTTCATTTGCTCCTCATAGGATCTGTTCTCCAGGCCCTTCACCAGCTTCCTTGCCCCCCTCTGCACTTGCTCCAGCACCCCGATATCTCTCTCGTATTGAGGTGCCCCAAACTGGACACAATACTTCAGGTGTGGCCTCACCAGTGCAGAGCACAGGGGGACTGTCACCTCCCTACTTCTGCTGGTCACACTATGGCTGATACAAGCCAGGATGCCGTTGGCTTTCTTGGCCACCTGGGCACACTGCTGGCTCATGTTCAGCTGCTTGTCAATCAGAACCCCCAGATCCTTCTCTTCCACACAGCTCTCCAGCCACACCTCCCCAAGCCTGTAGCCATGCAGGGGGCTGTTGTGGCCCAAGTGCAGGACCTGGCACTTGGCCTTGTTGAAGCTCATCCCATTAACATTGGCCCATGGATCCAATCTATTCAAATCTCTCTGTAGAGCCTCCCTATCCTCATGCAGATCGAAACTCCTGTTTAACTCAGTGTCATCTACAAACTTATTGATGCTGCACTCTATGTCCTTATCAAGACCGTCAATAAAGATGTTGAACAGAAATGGTCCCAACACCGAGCCCTGAGGAACACCACTTGTGACCGGCCACCAGCTGGATTTAGCTCCATTGACCACCACTCTCTGGGACCGTCCCTCCAGCCAGTGCTTGACCCAGCAGACCGTTTGCTCATCCAGGCCATGATCAGCCAGTTTTTGTATGAAGATTCTGTGGGGAACTGTGTCGAATGGGTTTTGAAAATCAGGTAGACAATATTCACAGCTTTTCCCTCATCCAGTAATCGAGTCATCTTGTCATGGAAGGAGATCAGGTTTCTCAGGCAGAACCTGCCTTTCATAAACCCATGCTGACTAGGTATGATCCCCTGGCTGTCCATTATATGACTTTTAACAGCACTCGAGATTACCTGCTCCATGACCTTCCCTGGCACCGAGGTCAGACTGACAGGCCTATAGTTTCCTGGATCGTCCTTCCTGCCTCTCTTGTAGATGGGTGTCACATTTGCCACCCTCCAGTCCAATGGGACCTCCCCAGTTAGCCATGGCTTCAGGTAAATCATGGACGGCAGCTTGGCGAGCACATCTGCCAACTCTTTCAGCACCCTTGGGTGTAACCCATCCATCCCACAGACTTGTGTGCATCCGGGCAGTGTAGCAGGTCTCTGACCACCTCCTCTTCAACTGTGCTGACCTCAGTCTGCTTCCCCTCCCCATCTCCCAGCTCCTGAGGCTGGGTGTCCAGGGAACAGCCAGTTCCACTGCTAAAGACTGAGGCAAAGTAGGCACTGAGCACCTCATCCATTTCCTTATCCTTTGTTACCATGTTTCCCTCTGCATCCAATAAAGGAGGGAGAATTTCCTTAGTCCTCCTTTTGCTGTTAACGAATTTATAGAAACATTTTTTATTAACAGCTCTACCCAATTTGAGCTCTAGCTGTGCTTTGGGTCTCCTAATGTTCTCCCTGCATAACTTCACTACATCTTTATAGTCTTCATGAGAGACCCGCTCTCTCTTTCAAAGTCAAGAGATTCTGCTTTTGTTCTTGAGATCCAGCCAGAGGTCCTGCGGGAGAGCTGAGCATGCACACGACCAATGTGATCAAGCAATGCCCATTTATTACAACTAAGAAAGCCCTTTTATAATGTTCTTCTGCACACGTGAGTAGCATGCAGTACAAGTCCTCAAGACTGGACAGTTAACTTATCCCCCACTTTAAACCTTCTTATAATTGGATAAAAGGTGCCACATCAGCCTTGCCAGGCTTCCTGCCTTGTGTAACTTCCTCTTCCATCCCAACCCCTTCCAGGGGTTGTTTGTCTCATCAAGTTTCTCCCCCCTCATTCAGGGTCACGTCCTTATCACATTCTTGCTTGGCTGAGGCTCTCATCAGTCTTGTTCTCATGCAGGATTGTTCACATGTCCATTCTCTCACAGAAAGCCCTCTAGAATCCCAACAAGGTCCCAGTTTAGCCAGGCTGTCTCCATTCCTGCCTGCTCTTTGTTCAAAACACGGGAGCAGCCTGTTCCTGTGCCTTTAAGACTTCTCTCTTGAATTATGCCCAGCCTTCCTGGACTCCCATATCCTTCAGGGCAGCCTCCCAAGGGATTTTGTTAATCAGGTTTTTTAAGAGGTCGAAGTTAGCCCTCCAGAAGTCTAAAGTGGCAGTGTTACTAACCCCTCTTTTTGTTTCTCCAAGGATCGAAAACTCAATTATCTCATGATCACTGCACTCTAGCCGGCCTCCAACCTTTACTTCCCTCACAAGCTCTTCCCATTTCACAAGCAGCAGGTCCAGGAAGGCACCTTCCCTGGTCGGCTCACTCACCAGATGTGTGAAGACTTGATTCTCCACACATTCCAGGAACGTCCTGGATTGTTCCCCCTCTGCTGTGTTGTGTTCCCAGCAGATACCCAGGAGGTTAAAGTCCCCCAGAAGAATAACGGCAAGTGACTGTGACATTTCTCCCAACTGTTTATCAAAGGCTTCATCCACCTCACTGCTTTGGTTGGGGGGTCTATAACAGACTCCCACAGCAAGATCTGCTGTATTGGCCCTTAACCTAATCCAAACACTCTCAACCCCATTATCACTTTACTTGATTTCTGAGCTGTCATAGCATTCTCTTACATACAGGGCCTTTTTCCCTATTCCCTCTATCTCCTTCTTCTCCTTTTTCCATTAAGCAGTGCAAGGCATATTGTATTGCTTGCTACAACTTGCTATATACTCAGGCAGTTATTGGGTGTTCAATTAGTACATTGTGAGTAGTTAATAAATGTTTGTATTTTGAGATTTGTCTCACCATTGTCTGCTCCACTAGGGATTTGCAAATCTGAGTCACTTGGCTCCCTCCTCTGAGCGGGACATGACAAGTAATAGTACATTTTCTGACAGTAGTAGCAGGGCATACAGTAGTACACTTCTTGGTAGGATGTGCTACCAGGTCCTGTGCCCAGCAGGGCTGCGGGACCTCCGTCGGGATCGGCTGCTTGGGGCCAGTTGGTGCCTGGAGGACACACAGCCTCTCCGCTGACGGTGGTAGCTCCTCCCAGAATAAGCTGGGACGTGCTGTGTGGGGCTTCAAGCTCGCCCCTCATCATGATCCCTCCTTATCTGCTGATCCCACTGTATTTCATGTGATGTGCTGCAAGACCTCCACCGTGATCAGCTGCTTGTGGCCAGGCTTTGCCTGGGGATCTTCAACATATATCAATACCTGAAGGGAGGGTGCAGAGAAGACTGAGCAGACTCTTCTCAGGGGTGCCTAGTGACTTAAACTTCACTTTAATTTGTCCCACTGTTTTTATTTAGCCATCTGCTGTTTATAAATTTTATTTTATTTTTTC